CCTGCGCGCGGCCCGGCCCGCCACTGACCACCCCCTCCCCCCTTGTGTTGCAGTTCCGCACCCGGGTGCTGTGGTGCCGCCCCGCCGAGCTGCCGCGGGAGCGCGAGGCGCCGCTGCCCGGCTTCTACGTGGGGCTGCAGGACACCATCCTCTTCCCCGAGGGCGGCGGCCAGGTACCGCCTCCGCGCCGCGGGGCTGTGGGGGCGGGTGGGAGGGCAGGGGCCGGCGCGGGGCGCAGCGCTGGTCACTGCCCTCTTCTCCGCAGCCGGACGACCGGGGCCTCATCGAGGACATCCCCGTGCTGCGAGTGACCCGGCAGGGCGCCGAGGCGCTGCACTTCGTCCAGACCCCGCTGGAGCCGGGCAGCGAGGTGTTGCTGTCGCTGGACTGGGACAGGAGGTTCGACCACATGCAGCAGCACTCGGGTGAGCGCTCGCCCCCGGGCAAGGCAAGGCGAGACAAGCTGCCCTGCCCGTGTTGGTGGTGGGGACTGCACCCAGGGGTCTGTCACAAAACATAACTTTGCTGCGTCTTCCTCTGGGATCAGCGCCTCCAAATAGCCCTCGGGCACGTTACAGCCAGACCTTGGGAGAGGGTTATAACCGTCCACCGCATTTCAGAGACCTGGATTCCCCGTGCTCCCCTCAGCTGCCTGGGCAATAGCGGCTCTGCCCAACACGGTCCCAGCACAGTTGTGAATATCCCTGCATCCATTTCATACGGGGATGGCCAGTGCTTTGTTGGGCCCCTTTGGCGGGAGGGATCAGTTTGCCAAGTTCCCTGCGTGGTTCTTTTTGGACCTGTTTTAGGATAGTGACGTTTTCTTTTGTATTATTATATAAAGCATACAGATATCAACAAAACCCCAACAGTCCAACACACAAAAGTCATCGCTTGTGATACAACATATATATACACAGTTGGTACAGCAAAGATACAGTTGACACGCAAATACCCAGTTACATGAACATTCAAAAACAACCATTGACATTGTGGTACAACACATGCACATTTGCATAAACATTAGGATAGTGAATAAAGTTCTTTGGGTGAATCTGATATCTTTTATTTGACCAACTTAAATAGCTGGGGAAAAAAATGTAGCAAGCTTTCTGGTTTTAAAAACCCTTCGTCAGGCTGAGGAAGTCTCTGCAGTTGGTGTGTGCTCTTCCTGGATGGAATGAATAGTAAAGAATATGAACGATAAATATAGTAAAGATTAGTAAATGTCTTTCAAATGAGGGTCACAAGCAAGCATAATATTTATGGACTCGGAGCAGAAATGTATAGTCTGCTTTGAGCTCCTCCGAACTAGCTGCCATATTCTGTGGTTCTCAGGGCTGACTGGGTGAGCTGTGCCTTGTGTGTGTGCTTCTAGGCAGTGAGCAGACCTCTGCACACACGTGCTCTTGTGCGTTTGCAAAGGCCAAGGAGAACATAACACAAGAAACAAACATTTTAATTGAATTCCTTACCACCTGCATGCAGTAAAACTCAGAGCCATTTCTTCCTTTCCAGGGCAGCACCTCATCACTGCCATTGCAGATCTGATGTTTGGATTCAAAACCACCTCATGGTGAGCTGGGAAGTAATTCCTTTTAACCTCACTCCCAAAGCTTGTTTGTTTCTGCCATTATGCTGAGCCCTAGCCATCCCGTTCAGCACAGAGGGCCTGCAATGGGCAGCCAAGCTGAGGACAATCTGTGCAAAGTGAGAGGGAAGGGCTTAGTGCACTGAAACTCAGTTTCTGCGTCATTCTCCTGCATGGCACTTAGCGCTGAGCAAGAAGCTTCCCGCTTATCTCTGTTATGTTTGTGGGCAGGCATGATTGATGTTTGCTGTCCCTGCAGGGAGCTGGGCCGTCAGCGAAGTATCATAGAACTGGACACGCCCTCGATGACAAAGGAGCAAGTGGTGGCTCTAGAGGAGAATGTGAATGAGAAGATACGGGCCCATATTCCCGTGACGGTGAAGGAGTTCTCTGATGGTGACCCAGAGGTGGAGATGGTGAGTGGCGCTTGAGGCTGCTGGCTAAAATCTATTCCAGAGCTGCATAGGGCAGAGGCAGTGTCCTGCCTCATCTCTTGTTTGTCCCGGAGAGTTCTCGTTGCTATGCGTACCTTTCTTCTTCTCTTGGTAGGTGAGAACCCGTGGTTTGCCAGATGACCACACAGGGCCAGTGCGAATTGTGAGCATTGAGGATGTAGATGACAACATGTGCTGTGGAACTCATGTTTCTAACTTAAGCCAATTGCAGGTAAGAGCTCCCCAGCTTCTGTCCCTTCGCCCAATACACAGAATTCCGGGGACAGAAAGATCAAGGGTCTACCTATGCATTTTCCTAGTTAGTAGGAGAAGCCTAACTGAGCATCAGAGGGCATAGGGGAACAGCCATGTAACCTCTGTCCAGGCCCCAGTCCTTTGTCTTTTCCATGTAGGACTTGGGTATGCTGTGTGCCAGCAAAAGAATCTTCCAAACTGCTGACACCCTAGCTAGCAGGAGGTCTGTTTCCAGTGGGCTGGAAAGTCATGAAGTTCTGTGGCATTTTTGTGGTTTGCCATGAATGAGGAATTCTCTACTTGGCTCGTGGAGAAGTAGGTGAAGATAAACATTTTAGAGCTGTCTAGGCATTCTTGTGCTTATGGTCCTTTGAGGGAACAGTTTGAGATAAATAACTCTTGTTTTCCAGTTTGCACAGGTACTTTGTTACTGCTGTGAAATTATTAGATATTATTATGGCCCTAAGAAAATCATGGGTTTCTTGTCAAAAGTTCATGGCATGGATGCAGGTAGAGTATAATTTTTCACGGAATATTCAGAATACTACCATTGATCTTGGCAATTGGGTCCTGATAGTTCTGTGAGTGTTCCGTGAAAAAAGGAACTACTACCTGCTCACGTGCAGCAGGCAGGCACATAGCCATAGGCAGCAGAAGGCTGGGGCTAATAGGGCTTAGCCCTCTCAAACGTGGGGCAGTGCAGAGGGCCATGGGGCAGCCCAGGTGCGGGCTCTGGGAGGCTGCGAGGGAGGGGTGTGCACAGACAGACACAGAGCCTGCATGCAGCCAGGATTGCAGCCAAATGGTATGCAGAGCACTGTCCACCACAGCAGGGGGGGGCAAATTGAGGCCCCCACAGGGAGGGAGGGAGTGGGGCAGGGGCTGGGGTGAGTGGGGCCCCGAGCCAGGTCGTGGGATGCCTGGAGCCCGGGTGGCTTGTCCAGGGGCACGGCGGGGGGTATCTGCCACTGCACGCACCTCTGGAGAGGCCCGGGGACCATGTGCCTCCCTGGATCTGTGTGGGGCAGAGACGGGCTGCCCACTGTGGGCTGGGCTCTGTGCCCTGCTACCCCTTCCCTGGAAGCTGGCTCCAGGAGATAGTAGTGGCAGGTACATGGCGTTGCGCCTCTCCCAGGGCAGGGACAGTGGGGCACAGAGCCCAGTCCACCTCTGCCCCATGCACAGATCTGGGGGGCATGTGCCCCCTGGGCCTCTCCCGAGGTGCATGCAGTGGTGAGAGCCCCCCCCAGATGAGCTACCCAGGCTCTGGGCATCCCATAAGGGGCCCCACTCACTCCTGCCCCACTCCCTCCCTCTCTGGGGGCCTCAATCTGTGCCCCCCCAAATTCCTCCCCCAGCTTACCTGCTGTGGTGAGCACTGCTCCGCATGCCTTGTGGCTGCGATCCTGGCTGCATGCAGGCTCCGTGTCTGTCTGTGCATGCCAGCCCACACTCGGGCTGCCCTGAAGCCCTCTGCACTGCCCTGCATTTGAGGGGGGCTAAGCCCATTAGCCCTGGCCTTCCACTGCCTATCCTCACAACCCTTAAAAATCGCTGTGTGGTCTGAATTTTGCGGTTTTCATTCACTCCATGGAATCACGATTTTCTCAGGGCCCTAGATATTAGGGCATACGTGGTTAGTTTAAGCACCACATCCTGCTGCTGGCCCATGGCTTATGAATGTAACTAATCTGTTTCCATTTTCCCTGTGTTTCTTAAGGGTGATGTTAATGGTTCAGGTTTGATGATCTAGTGTAGATGTTCACTTGCATCTTGCTGTATGTCAGTTGCGTGTCTGTAAAACTTTGTAGTACTTCCATGATTAGGATCCTAATTTTTTCTCTATAAGGTTATTAAGCTGCTTGGCACAGAAAAAGGAAAAAAGAACAAAACAAACTTGGTATTCCTGGCGGGGAATCGAGTACTGAAGTCTGTTGAATGGAGTCATAGCACTGAGAAGACTCTCACTTCACTGCTCAAGTAATAGTACCCTTTCCCTTTTCTCTCCCTCTTTCAGCCTTGCTGATCCTTCTCTCATGAAGAGATGGCACAGGGCCTTAGAGCAGGGATGGCCCACCTATGACATGTGTGGCACAGGCAGCTGCTCTGTGTAGCAAGCAAGTCCTCAGTAAAGGGAGGTGCTGGAATGGAGGCAGAGGGGCTCAAGCATCCTGCCCTGTGGAACAGAGTTGGGGTAGGAGACTGCTGCTGGAGGAGGTGTGATTTGTAGCTGTCCAGAGCAAAGTGAACTCTTCCCTGGCCCTGCAGCTGCTGCAGAGTCCAGGGCGTTGGATCCTGACTTGCTATATAAAATTGCAACAGTCATAGGGTGGCTTATGTTGTGGTCTACGCTGTGGCTCCCATCAATGGAGCTCTTTCTGGACAGTGCATTAACAGCCCCTAAGCTCTGCCTTTCTTTTTCAGGAATGGGCCAGAGGAACATGTGGAAGCTGTGAAGAGGCTGCAGAATTCTGTGAAGATGCTTCAGAAGGTACAGCTGGGCCCTGTAAAACAGACTCTGGCTACTTTTTCAAGGGCTTGTGCCTTCACAGTGATGTTCTGAATAATCTTCATTAGTTAGAATTGAATCTTAGACTCTTTCTTAATGAACTGGAGGCTGTGAATATTGTGGCCTCTACTGCCTTAGGGCACCCATTTCAAACCTTGTCTACAACACAAGAATGTTCTTTCCTTTCAGAACAACTTGAACCTGCTTAGAGACCTAGCTGTTTTGACAGCCCAGAGCTTCAAAAGCAACCCGAACCGAGACCAGCTGTTTGTATTACACAGGTAAGGCATTATGGATAGGAATGGGCCTGCTGGGTCAGTGGTGCTCTCAACCTTTTGGCCTCATGGCCTCATGGGCTAAATGAATGATGCAGGCCTAGTCCATGGGTTGGATTGGACTCTGCATCCCAAGATTGGACCCATGCACCTAGATCCAGACTGCATTGCCCCTGCCTGGCCCTGTGTGCCTGGTTCGGGGACCTAGAACTATATGCCTCCGCCCAGCCTTGTGTGCCTCCTCCACCTGGCCCCACGTGATGGGACTGGGGTCTGTGCTGCCCTGTGTGCTGGTTCTAGTATGCGGGGCCATGGCCTGCAGGACTCCCAATGAGCCAGGTGACAAGGGGCTGAGGACCAGGTCTGGCTTGCTGGCTGAGTGTTAAGCACCCCTGCCCCAGGTTATAAATCCCACTCCCCTGCAGTTGTGGGCATGCATATAATGTGTGGTAGCTGCATTCCATTCAAGGCTTTTTACCGCAAGTATCAGTCAACACAGCTGCTATGTAAGGGAGAAGATAAATAAGGTAACCAGACTATTAGACAAGCTCTGTCTGGGTCTGCTGAAAGGGCTTGTAATATAACAGGACTGTATTACAGTTGTTTGAATTCTGATGGGTTTGTAGCTGAACAATGCATTTATCTGTCTGATCTCTCTCTGCCCAAAGCATTTCCAGTAAAATTGAAGAGCTCTCTGCTAAACAATAAGCACTTTAAGAATCATAACTCACCCGTTGGAAATGCTGAAGGTTTTGCTTCAGACGTTACTAGTCTGATGTTGAGAAGCCAAAGCTGTGGCTTGCAGGAGCAGTTCATGCAGAATCTGGGTGTTGGTTCTCTGACGGTCTGAAAGCCGCCAGGAGGGAACACACTAAAAATCAGCAAAAGCCATGCCAGGACAGTCACAGCCACTGCTGCTGTCTAGTCAGTTTGGGACTCCTGGGCAGGTTTTCAATGTTGGTTGGATCCTTTATACCATGGAATCTCCAAAATGCTTTTTATTTTCTACAGGAAAGATGGTGACACTGAGTTCATGAACATCATTGCTAATGAGATTGGGATGGATGTGAGTATTCTGTGTTGCTAGTACCTCAGTCTGGCCTAGGACTCATAGTGTTTGCTACCATATAGGAACCCAACCAGCCCTTACCAGTCCCTGCTACAGACTCGCACAGAAACAGACTTCTTTATCCATTAAAGATGCTGCTGCACAGGCCAGAGCTGATCATGCTTCCCCCACCCCCTGTGCGCATGACAGCCATGATCTGGTGGACCACCCCTTCCTTGCTGGAAGATGGAAACTCATTTTCCATGGTTTCTTTCTGTAGATCTTGTCAGCAGCCAGGTAGAGGTGAACAACATGGAAATATTTCAATGGGCTGAAGGCTTTTGTCACCCTTACACAGGGTGTATCTACATGTTGCTGTATGGTTATGTTGCTACAGCACCATGCTTTAGTACTTCCTTTTGGAAGTGCTAAAGCACGGCATACTACGGGCTGTTACTGTGCCGTGCGTGCTGTGGATGGGTAAATTTCCCAGCTATGTCACTATAGTGGCGCACTATACTTGCATGATTGCCACGTTGCCATAGCCTGCCATACAGTGATGTGTAGACGTGCCCACAGAGACCCTATAGCCCATTTGACATGGATCCTGTTCTGTCAGTGTTCCCCAACCCCCATAATAAATGTCTGTGCCCCAGAACCAAGTAGGAAGTTGACCTGGAGTGAAAAGCACAAAGCTCTTCTACTCTACTAAGGGATTGAAACCCCCAATGTTGCCATCCAATTGCAGCAAAACTAAAATGGCAGTCACTCATTCGCACATTTGGGACTTGCCTGCTTACTGCTCTAGTGTTAGGGTGCTGAGATGTTGTGGAGCAGAATCATTCTGTTGCCCTCTTTTCACAGGAAACCCTGCTGTTCCTAACTGTGGGAGATGAGAAAGAAGCTGGTCTCTTCCTCCTGGCTGGGCCCATCAAAATAGTTGAGAATTTAGGTCCCAGGTAAATTGTTGTGACCTTCATTAAGTTAGAACTGTTATTAAGGAAGCCAAATTCCTGTCTCAGGTAAAAAAGAAACATTATTTCTGATTATCAGAGAAAGGGCCAAGGTGGTGAGGTACTGACCATTTCCAAACAGATGCAGTTTACAAATTACCACTTGTAGGCTTCCTGGCTTTATCGCATTGAATTACTGCAGGGTGGCCGAAATCCTGGAAGGCAAAGGAGCTGGGAAACGGGGCCGCTTCCAAGGCAAGGCAAACAGGATGAGCAGGCGAGCTGAAGCACAGGCCCTGCTCCAGGAATTCATTGACCACCAAAGCTCAGAAGTATGAAGAACAGGCCTCTCCCCTGGACTATCCTGCCTGGAAGCATAATAGTATGCCACCACTGACACTCCTCTAGAATAATAAAGATATGGGAAGAATAACAGTGTTTCTGTGCTGTTTATCCAACCAGAGTTGGGGAGGAAGCTGCTTCTCTTCTCAGACAACGGTTAATTTTTCTTGGTTCTGCAAGGGTTTTTTTTTCTGTGGGGGGTGCAGGTGGTGAGGATTAAGTGAACTTGGCCCTACTAAGAGGTTTGAGAAGTGGGTAGCCAAGCCCTGTCTTTCATCTCTAGCTCAGTAAGTGATGCTACAAACTTTCCCACCTCTAGGAAGGTGGAAGCTTCCATGTTCTAACACTTTTGGCTAACCTTGTATCATAGATGACTAAGATGGACTCTGTCCAAGGCCCCCCAGCCCCTACTAACATCCAGGTTTTTCCTGGTGATCCTTGGGTTTTGCCTTATTTCGGTGGTGATCAATACCATCTGTTGCAGAACAGCAGGAGGCTAGGAGTATATTCCAGGTTGTTACAAACAGTCAAAACTCCCCTTTAACCATATGACAGCCTCCTGATGTACTACTTAGAGCAGAGTGCTGGAGTTTAACACTTGCTAACTGTTAGAGAAAATGAACTGGGTTTTTGTTGCCAAGTCCTGGGAAAGAGAATCACTAAGGTCTTGGGTTGGGAATAGGTGGGATGCTGGAATCCACTCCTGATGCTTAAGTAAAGAGCAGGTGGAACCAGGGGCTAAGCACAGCCATCCAGATGAGCCAGATATCTGTTGCTTTGCAGAGACAAAACCTGAAGGAATGTGGGTGAAGGATATGATTAAAGTCTGTAGCAAAGAAGAATGATGGACCTATACTGGGTATAGCAAGTTGCTCAAACCCTGTCTTGTGCAGGATGTTCATACTGGCTGCTGTTCTTCTCTGATATTCAGAGGCTGCTGCAGGGCCTGGAGAACTTAATCTGTTTGTGCTGAGGCGAGTGTTGCTGTTGGGTTCATTTTTGTTGTGTTTCCTGTCCATGCTGGTTATACATGCTGCTACTGACCTCTGAACTCAGCAGCTCTTTCTGTCAACTGCATACCAACCCAGTTACAAACATGATGTGAGTATTGTCAAACTGGGGCCATGGAGACTTCCTTATACAGATCAGCGTTATCTAGAAATGTTGTAGAGTATCATGTGTTATATTGACACTGCCCATCCTGGTTTGTGAATTACACAAATCCCTTCAACTTGGTGCAGCTACACAAAGCATAGAGCATGACACCCGCTGCTGGTGACTTACACAAATGGCTGGTACCTTTTCTTTGGGCACTTATTTATATGTATACATATCTGTCTCCTCGTGCTGGCCATGGGCTTTTTTTCCTTTCCTTGCAGCTGGTAATTTTTTTTCTCTGTGAGAGCATCTTCTGTTTTTGAGGCCAGCACATATCCACATGTATTGCTTTTTAGCAAAGAGTGAACTGCAGGCCATTGTGCACTGCTAGGACTATAGGCAAGCCAGCCACATTTCCCCTTTGTAGAGCTGGACAAGAAAAAAGAAAAATTTACATTGTCATAGATGAGAGCATGAGTTGGATTTGGGTGCCTAATTCTTTTAGGAAAATCCAGCTCTGCAGCATTAGTATCTTGCAGGGACACAAGTTTCTGTAAAGGGAAATGGGGGAGGCTTGCCATGCTCTCCAGCATCCCTTGCCTTGAAGGTGGAAAGGAGTGGTGGTCCTGCAAATATATGCTTTGTCCCATGCTCACCTGCTGCCCCTCTTGTAATCACTGAAACTATTTCTAGTCAAAGACCAGGACACCATCTTCCATGTGACAAGCAAATCCCACAGAACACCAGACTTGCTGCTTTGATGGCTTTGAAGTTTTGTCCCATGCATGTTCTGTGGTGGGTGCTGGGGAAAATGTTTCAAGCCTTTTGTGAACCAAAAGCACATGTAGCATCTACCTCAAGCTCAAGGTTCTTCCACATTCTTTCTGCCAGAGCTTTCTCAGATAGGGTGGTGTATAAATTAAATCAATCAGTCAATTTCAGGAGGCCCAAGTTTTCTGCAAAGAGTTTCTTGAATCAGGTCTTAATCGCAGTAGAGTGTTTAAGCAGGAGTAAACTAAACTTGACGGGGAACAACACTATACCAAACCTGGGGCACACCATTAGTACATCTACAGCAGAGTTTTGCATTAGTGCAGCAACAGCCATACTCGGAAACCCCTTGTAGGCAAGCCCAGCACTCTACTACTCTTCTCGGCCACTCTGGAATGCTTCTCCCCTAGGGATGAGCTGTTCTTGGCTCTAGTGCATTCCTGTCTCCTGTTTTACAGAAGGAACTTTGTGACCTCCCTGAATTTCTGCCTGCTAGGGGAGGACATGGCTAGCTCCTAGCAAGAGAAGACTTGCAGCCAGGATGGTGCCAAGCTGTCCCTAGTGCTATACAGCAGGATTGTCCAGCTTCTGAGTAGAAGGAGGCTGCATGCCATACTGGGCAGTAGTAGCCAGGTGGCACAGTTGCTGTCTCTCACCCATTGACTCCTCAATCTACATTTTCACTGATTACCTGTCTTGTATGCATACCAGCCCAGCCGCTGGCTTCTTTACTTTTCATTCCATCCAGGAAGTGCACACACCAACTGCTGAAACTTCCTTAGCCTGACGAAGGGTTTTTGAACCCGAAAGCTTGCTTAATAACTATTCTCCAGCCATTTGGGTTGGTCTAATAAAAGATATCAGATTCACCCAAGGAACCTTGTTTGCCAACCCAAGACATTTTTGATTGACAGTCTGCCAGCTTTTTACTGGCATACAAACTTTGTTACTTACATGTGATTTTACTGTCAGTAAACAAGAATTCTTGGGTTGGCAGCCCTGTGTGACTGCAGCAGTAATTTTATATCCTGCTGCCCCTGGCATAGGGTCCCTACTCATCCCATACCCTGGTATGCCTGACTGTACCCCCGCACCATGTTGCCCTGACCCCCCCCCCCCCCCCCCCCCCTCCCCCCGCCCCATGTTCCCCTGACCCCCCCCCCCATCTCCTCCAATTCTGCTGGCCCTGCTCCCCCTGTCGCAGCACAGATCCCCACCCTCTGGCTTTCCCACACCGGGCCCACAGCTCTGTCCCAGGTGCACTGCCCACCTCTCTGTATCTTTGAGATGAGCAGCTGTTAACGGTAAGGGATGGGCAAAGGGCCCCAGCAGCAGCACATGACTAGGGAGGAGGTGGGGAGTCTACCTAGGGATGGCCAGGTATGTCTGGAGAGCGGTGTTGTAGATGAAGTGGAAGTAGTTAAAGGTTTCTGCTACCAACATACTGAGGGGTGGAAATGTCTGTGAGAGCAACAGGCTAGCTAACTAACCTACCTGGTGGTTGTCAGTGCAGCAAGTCGTGCAAGGTACAGGACCAAGTGCTGTGTGCATGCAGAATCATCCACAGGATTGCCAAGGCCACTGCTAACATATAGGGCAGTGATTTCTAGACAGTGTGCTATGAGAGAAGTAGAAGTATGCCATGAAAAAACGGTCTGGATTAGGCCCAGCCAGGCTGGCCCTCATAGCAGAATCGGGCCGATGGAGATCCAGGCTGCGAATCGCTGAGTAAATTGTGCTGCCGGTTTTAATCTAGAAAAAAGTGTGCCTCAGTTATGAGGTTTGAGAAACACTGATCTAGTGTCTACTGGGAGTAGGCTACATCCAGCTGTGCCACAAGGCCATTCAGTGCCTGATCTTGATCAATGAGATAACATTATCAAATATTCACACAAACCAGGCAGAAGGGTTTGAGACAGCTGTGCTCTATGCTTGTTTCTGTTGGCTGCAGTTGCTCACTGGTTTAGCCCTGGCAGTGTATGCTCCCCATTTGAATCAATGGTTGGTGCAGATTAGAGAACAACCATCTCCAGATGGGAGGACATGGTTCTCTCAAACTTGTCTATCTCCTGTCATAAGGCTGTAGGTTGGTGGTGGGAGTGGCAGTAAGACCCTCACTAAAAATGACACTAGTGATCACCTGATGGGAGGGGAAAGGGAAGCAAGCTGTAAAGATGACACTGGATAAGCAGACAAGAGACGCACATGGGCCAGGACCTCACCTAGGGTAGGCCACAGAGGGTATAAATGCAATGGAGAAGTGGCACATTTTGTCACATTCACATGTCTCTGTTAAAGCAGCTCTCAGGAATGGCTGAGTTTACTGCTACCCTTCCACCAGCAGGGGGCCTGAGAGAATACATACATAGCATAGCCGACATGGCAGGCCCACTAGGTGTCCCACAGGCATGTGGTGAAATGTTTGTGGGAGGTTTTGTGCCTGAATACCTGTTGCATTTGTCCTGCCACTGAGTTGCCCTCTGACTTAGCTCATCCCAGTACCTGATGCAAGGAGCAGTGAGGGCTTGCAGAACCCAAGGATGCAAGAGATCCCAAGACCCTGCAATTCTGCAAAACCTACTATTTTTCTTGTGCCTGCAATACCAATACCATTTCCTATGTTTGTAATAATACTGTCTGTGACTGTGACCCAGAGTTTCCACTGCCCGGCAGGTTGCCAGGCACTGCGCGTTTGCACTGAATGGCCACTTTAATGTATAAATAAAATGTAGTGCATCTGTTAAATACTGTTGGCTGAATTCAAGGTCTCATCTGTGTGGTTTTCTCCTGTGCTGGCAGGAGGTGATGATGATGCGGGGGTACGGTCCAGGAGTGGCATGTTAAGGGAGGGCAGTGGTGGGGGAAGGGGGAGTCAATGAGAGTTTGGACTGGGGGTGAGGGTGGGGGGTAAATCCTCAGCTGGATGCTGAACATTGCTCTGGAGCTGTGGTTGGGGAAGGGAGGTGATGTGAAAGCTCATCTTCATCTCCCAAGGAGAGGCTAGGTATGCTGGGGCCATAGCACAACTACTGGGTTTCTGTAGGAGGATGGGCTGGGGCATTAGAGGGGTATTAATTGAAGCAGCGACAGTTGCTGCCTGCCTACCCAGCAGAAAGATAGCATGTTTCCTATTAAAAGCTCCCTCCCTGAAGCCAATGCAGAGGGATTGAGCAGCCCAACCTTGATCTATCCACCTGGGGTGGGTCAGAGTAACCCCAGTCT